CTGTCCGTCTTCCCTGGACTGACCAACTCCCACCCTAACTCCCCACCTACACTCACCTTTACTGGCTCCATCCCTGCCTCCTTGACCTGTCCGTCTCCTCTCCACCTATTGCTCCTTTATCCATCTTCCATCCACCTCCCCCTCTCTCTCTATTTATTTCAGAATCCCCTTCCCCTCCCCCATTTCTGAAGGGACCAGACCCGAAACGTCAGCTTTCCTGCTCCTCTGCTGCTGCTTGGCCTGCTGTGTCCATCCAGCTCTACACCTTGTAATCTCAGATTCCCCAGCATCGGCAGTTCCTACTATCTCTCCTACATTCTCGCCTTCCTCCTCAGTCCACCAGCCTCCAAGATATCTGCACCCATCTAATTCCAGCAATTCTTAAACATTCCCACCTCTAACCCCCACTACTTTTTGTGCTTTTGGTTGCCTAATACCCAAACAATGACATTTCCATGTCCCCACTTCTGACCTTACGATGGTGCGAAATCATGTTTTACATATTCATTGGAATTAGGCTAGATGAGCATTTATTGTCCATTCCGAATTGCTCAGAGGACAGTTGAGAGTCAACTACCTTGACTGCCCAGAGTCTGATAAGGATGGCAGCTTTTCTTCCCAAAAGGATATGAGTGAATCAGATGAGTGTTTATATTTGAGAGATACATGGTCACTATTAGGCGAGCATTTAATATCTAGTTTTCCTTTATTATTGAACTCAAATGTCACCATTAATTTGAAACCCAGCATAACCAATGTCCTAAAACATGAGCCTGAGGTTATGGATTAGTAGTCTAGTGACATTGTAACAATGCCATCACCTCTCCAGAAGCATTTGAAAATAGTTGGGCCTGGACAACACCTAATAATGCCTTTTAGTGACATGTCTTGAGGCACTTCACCAATGTTTCAAAACAAAAATGTACAATCTCACCTCAAGTCCTTCACTAAAAACATCCTGGGGAGATGGGGTACCTACTGACTATAAACTCTATTAATACCATAGCTACAAAGAGCTGGTTAGAGGCTAGGAATCCAGCAGTGAGTAACTCACCTTCTGGCTCACCAAAGCCTGTACACTATCTACAAGGAACTAGCCAGGAGTGTGATGGAATACTCCCCATTTGCCAGCTCCAACAGAACAAGCAGCTTGATACCACCCAGACAAAGCAGACAGCTTGATCAGCACTACATCCACATTCTTCCACCACTAATGCACAGTCACCACCTGTGTGTACCAATTACAAGATGCACTGCAGAATTCAAAAAGGTCCTTCAAACAGCACCTTTCAAACCCATGATCATTATCATCTCGAAGGACAAGGTCAGCAGATACAAGGGAACACCACCACTTCGAAGTTCCTCTCAAAGCTCCTATCATCCTGACTTGGAAATATATTGCTTTTCTTTTGTTGTCTTTGGGCAAAACTTGTAAAACTCACTCCATAATGGCATAATCAGTGTACTTATGTTATTAAATCGATTATAGCAGTTTAAGGCACAACTCACTACCAGCTTCTCAAGCGCAACAACGGATGGGGAATAAATCCTGGCCCCGCCAAAGTCCACACCATCTCAATTAATTTTATTACAAATCAGCTACTGTCTCTGTTTGGTCCAAGGCTGCGAGGAATTTTGAAGTTCAAACACCTTTGATGGAAGTTAAACTGAACATAGATAATATTATTGCTGTAAGTGCCTCCTGATAGGATTGTCAATGACATCTACCTTAGCTGGCGACTGAGTAAGGCAGTTACTGGCTGAGTTGGATCAGTTCTACTTGTTGTGGACAGGAAATCTCAGCTCAGTGGTCAACACTGTCGGGTAAATGCCAGTGTTACAGCTGTACTGCAAAATAGCTTGAGAGGAAGGCATGACTAGCTTTGGAGACAGCCATCTGCACAATGCTGTCAGGGACTATATTCCTGTTTCTTAATGCCATTGGGTAATGACTGGAACTCCATCTTCAAAAGCACTATGGGTTCACCTACTTCACGCAGACTGTGAACAGTGAACACTCGAGAAAGTGAATGGCTTATCACCATGTTCTCAAAGGTAATGAGGAAGGGGCAGCAAATGCCTACCATGCCTGAAATTTTCACATCCTATGGACAAAGGTCCATAGCCTTCGCTGCACCTCATTAGTTCAACTGGTGATTAATATTATGAGCAGCGAATGGAATTGAACAGAAGACCAGGATCTGGAGGACACTAAAATGAAGCACCCATTCAGCACTTGACTGATGATACTTGCAAATGCTCCAGCCTGGTCTAATGCAATGATATCATAGGTCCCACCATCAATGAGGATGGGGATATTTGTGGAATCTCCTATATCATGTTCAGCATGGTCAAAGTGCCATACAGATGATGGAAAAGATATTCAAAAAGGGCAGGACTTCATCTCCACACAGTCTGTGTCATTCCTCTCAATGCTGTCAGAGTCAAATGCATCCGTGACAGATAAATTGGTGCGGACGAGGTCTTTCTTGTCCCTCTTGTTGGTTCCCATGTTTGCTGTCACAGGCTCAGCGCAGCATTTATGTCCTTGGGAGCTCAGTCAGTAGTGGAGCTACAAAGCTACAATTGTTCATTGAATTTCCCCACCGAGAGAACAAATGGTGCCCTTCCTATTCTCAACATTACTCCCAGGTAGTATTCAACAATGAAGTACAGATTTTTCAGTGGAGGGAGGACAGGAGGTGGTAATCCACAGGTGTTCTTGCCTGAGCTGAACCTGATGCCATCAGACTTCACTGTCGCTAGAGTCAAAAATCAAGAAATCCTTGCAGTAGACTTTTTACTTATTGAATTTGAGCTGCGGTGAGATTTGAAGTCACGTTTCTAAATCATTCATCCAGTAGCATTATCACAACATTAACATCTCTTCACAGAGACTATGATCAAAAACAGCAAGGTAGAATTCAAACGAACTTCCAGACCCGAGTAAGAAGCTTCAATGCCAATGGTGAATAGGAGATGTAAAAAGTACCATGCGGCTTATCATGTTCCAGAGTCTGAGGTCAAATAAAAGTTGAAAATCCAGATTTTTGACAGGGAGGGTGTAGAGTGGTACAAATTGCTTGATTTCACTCAGCATAGCAATTGCAATTTAAATTCCTTCATGGAAAACTACTTTCTCCTCATAATTTAGTTAAGTCAGAAATAAAAGACCCAAACAATGGCAAGCTGAAGAAAACGTCAACATATCACACAAACTCCAGAAAGCAAATGCCATAATCTCACCCTGAATGAAGAGGATAAAACATGTCAAAGTCATTCCAGTTCTTAACAGAACATTTCAAAAGACAAATGTAAATTTGTCAAGTCCATTTTAGTCTTTACTGATACTGACTTTTTCTCCTTATTCAACATTTGACAAACTGAACAATTTTTTTATGACAAAACATTATGTTAATTTTCAGCAACAGTATGTTTGTCTGAAAATTAGCATTTTTTAAAAAGGTCAAACTTAAATGTCATCTGGAATCAGCAATTAAGTCAAGAGCATAAATTACTTATTCGATCTGTTCTTTGGAATGAAGCCTAGCCAAAGAAAGTGCAAGATCATGTCATACTAACGATCTTAAGAAACATAATCCACTTGGTGCCAAAGGGCAGAGATTGCAGCTCAGTCATGTCTCCAACAGCCTCGTTGGCACTTTGGGTGGAGTTAGTTTGTTCTATGGTAAAGTGTCAAAGAGACCAGCAATGCAATATCACATTAAGGTAAGCATACAGGGTCAAGGCATACTGAGGTTCTTCTCAAACAGCTGTGGCCCAATTTTGGCATCAGGGCTTGAAAATAAATTTGAGTGAAACTGTTTTTATTCCCAGCATTGCAAAATCTCCAGAATCAAACACAAGTATCTAGTTATCCCAAAGTTAATTTTAATACTTAAGCCTGAGTTTTTTTTTGTTTGAACACGTTTCTTAGAACGTAGAAAAATTAGGAAATAGAAATACTTAAAACCAGTGTATGAACTGTCTGGTATTTCCGCCATAATTATTCAGCTAACTATAACTATAAAAACACACACGAAGGCTATCCCATTACACAGGGCAAGGATTCGATGTATCAATACAGTAATTTAGAAGGCTAGCTCCTAATTAAAATATATTTTCTGAACCATTCAGCAATTTTTTAAAGTGCTATCTGGTCCTTGTTATCTTTCTATGTTCCTAAGAGGCATTTAAGTAGACTGTTTTCCACTATTATAAATGGCAATTTTAAATATTTTGAAGTAAGGGTGAATATCTGTGCACATAGAGATGTTGCTGAAAATAGATCACGGCTGCTAAACTCGTGAAGGATGCAATTTGGACGAAAAAAAATCTCCAGCCTCTGAATCCCATGTGATCTGGGGTGAGCACAGCGTTCGGCACCTTTCCCCTACTCAAAAGAGCCGGTTCCCGATTTCAGGCTGTCCCAAAGGCCCAGCAATAAAAAAAGAGGAATAAGAAAAAGACCAGGTAACGTGGGGCCCACTCTGCATAAACTGATTCATTCCACCCTCCCCCGGCAAAACTCGGCCTCGGAGCAAAGCTGACATTCCCCGAGAAGAAGAAGAATGAACCGAACCGAACCGAGCCGATCCTCGCTGAGAATCCCGGCACACTCAGTCACACCGAACCCGGCGGCGGCACCATCACGACGCAGCCGAGGATCCAGGCACGGCCTAGTCCGCGTTACCAAAATGGCGGCTGCGGCGAGCGAACTGCCGGGGGATTCGAGTGGAGCCGGCCGGGGCCTCCCGATACCCCGGAGTTTGGGAGGGGGGGGAAAACAAGGAGGAGATAGGTGCTGAAGGACCAGCTCTCAGCCACCCAACCGGGGCGAGGCAAACAACGGCGGCGGTGCCGCAGCCGCAGCAGCAGCAGTGAAGAATGCGAAGAAAACGGAAGAAGAGTGTGAATGTGTGAGAGGAGCGACACCCGGTCCGTGTAATGCAGAGTAACTAACAAATAAATAAATATATGTCGGTGCGAGCGTCAGTCACCTTTGAATTTGAGCTCGACGGGCGGATCAAGGATCAGTACTTGCTCCAATCTGGCCATTGTCGTGGGGGGGGAAGGGCTGACACTCAGAGCCTTCACTGCCTGATGGCGCTTATCCGATCCTCTCCGGGAGGAGGAGGAGGGGTAAAAGGGGCTGATTTTTTTTTTCTTTCCCTCCGCCTCACTCGGACTCTGCAGGACGCCGACGTGCGCGCACCCGATCAGGGCACGCCAAAGTGCGTGCGCGTCCTCAGACGCCACCCGGGGTGTTGCTCACCGGCCACGAGCGTGCGCAGTGCAGTTTACCCCGTGACGCGCGGACGGGCTGTCCGCGATGATGTGGCGCACTGGCAGAGGTCCCGCCTCTCATCCGTGAGATAACGAGGTGTAGAGCTGGATGAACACAGCAGGTCAAGCAGCATCAGAGGAGCCGGAAGGTTGATGTTTCGGGCTTAGACCCTTCTTCAGAAGTCTAGGCCCGAAACATCAGCCTTCCAGCTCCTCTGATGCTGCTTGGCCTGCTGTGTTCATCCAGCTCTACACCTTGTTATCTCAGATTCTGGAGCATCTGCAGTTCCTGCTATCTCTCATCCGTGAGACCCAGGTTCAAGTCCCACCTGCTCCCGAGCCTTGTGATAGCAGGGATAGTAGGAACTGCCGATGCTGGAGAACTGAGATAATAAGGAGTAGAGCTGGATGAACACAACAGGCCAAGCAGCATCAGAGGAGTGGGAAAGCTGACCCTTCTTCAGAAAAATTATTATTAAAATATCAGTCGTGAATTAATCCCTCGCTGTAGCGTTGGGGAGGGGAGAGCATAGTTTGCAGTCTCTGTTTCCTTGGTAACTCACGGTGCCAAGAGTTAATATGCTAGTATGCTCAAAAACCAAGAGTTAGGCCTGTAATACAGGGGAAATCATTGAGCCCATCCAGTTTGCACTGACAAAAACCCTTCTGTGGTAATCTCACTTTCTGGCACCTGCCCATAGTTTTGAACGTTATGGCATTTCAAGTGCTCATCCACATTTTAAATAGATGATGAGGTTACTTTTCCTGGGAATGCATTCCAGATTCCCACTACTCTCTGAGTGAAAAAAACCCATTAAATCCCCTCTAACTTTCTCAACCTTCACCTTAAAATTGTACTTCCTCATTATTGAGCCTTTGTGAATAGGTTTTTCTCATTGGGCAAGATGTTACAAGTGGAATGCCTCCACCCCTCATCCCCCCCACCACGGATCAATGCTGCAGGGTCCTGCTTCTATTTATGGTCTCTGTCAGTGACTTGGCTGAAGGGGCCGAATGCATTGTTGCTAAATCTGCTTAATACACAAAGACAGGTAGGAAAGCAAGTTGTGCCAAAGTCTGCAGTGGAATTTAGGTAAGTTAGCTGAACAGGCAAATGGAGTATAATGTGGGAAAGTTAACTTGTCCACTTTGGCAGGAAAAGCAGTGTATTATTTAGTGGAGAGAGATTGAAAAATCCTTAAGGTGCAAAGGGACCTAGGTGTCATGGCATTTGATTTTTTTAGCAAGGAGAGTAGAATATGAAAGTGGGATGTTTTGCTTCAATTGAAAAAGCCATTGGTGAGACCGCATCCACAGTACAGTTTTGGGCTCCTTATTTAGGAACAGACATAATTGCATTAGAAACTAAAAGGCATAAACGCACAAAGGACTGAGGAAAATCTTTTCACACAGTGAGTAGTTGAGATATAAAATGCACTGCCTGGAAATATGATTGAGGCAGGTTCAGTTGAGGTATTCAAGGATATTGGATAATTATTTAGATAGAAATAGTGTGCAAGGGAATGAGAAGAAAGCAGGAGATTTCCACTAAGTAATGAAGATGTTTGAATTTGAAGAGCATATGCAGCTATGATGGGTCAAATGACCTCCATCTGCGCCATAACAATTCTGTGATTAGAACAATTAAAGGAGGGTTCCTGGAATGAGGATGCTACAAGAAAAGCTGAAGAAACAACACCTTATTTTCTGCTTGGGGACCCTGCAGCCCTCCAGACTCAATATCGAGTTCAATAATTTTAGGGCCTGAACTCTCCCATGTCCTAGCCCCCAATCGCACACACCAGGCATTGACTATAGGAATTGGGATGTTACGTTACAGTTGTATAAGTCGTTGATGAGGCCGCACTTGGAGTATTGTGTACAGTTTTGTTCACCCTGTTATAGGAAAGACATAGTTAGAATAGAAAGTGTGCAAAAAAGATTTACGAGGATGTTGCCAGGACTGGTAGACCTGAGTTATAGGAGAGGTTGGCCAGGATAGAACTTTATTCCTTGGATTGTAGGAGAATGAGGAGTGACCTTATTGAGGTGTATAAAATCATGAGGGGCATAGATAGGATGAATGCATATAGTCTTTTTCCCAGGGATGGGAAATTGAAAACTAGAGAGCATAGGTTTAAGGTAAGAGGGGATAGATTTAAGAAGAACCTGAGGGGTAACTTCTTCATGCAGAGAGTGGTGCATAAATGGAATGGGCTGCCGGAGAAAGTGGTTGAGGCAGGTACAATAGCAGCTTTTAAAAAACATTTGGATAGGTACGTGGATAAGAAGGATTTAGGGGGATATGGCCCAAATGTGGGTATTTGGAACTGGCTGAGTGGGCACCATGGTCAGCATGGACCAGTTTGTGCTGAAGGGCCTGTCTCCATGCTGTATTACTCTGTGACTCTATCACATACCCTGCCATTACACACTAGCTACTAACAGCTTCCATTAACAGCTATTCACCCTCCCAGCCAGATCATTATCCACTCCTTTGTCTGTCCAACTATTCTTCTCTCTTTTTGGGCTCTATTCCCACCTATCATTTTACTCCTTACCCCATCCCCCACCTACCTTCTGCATATAAATAGACATTTTCGTAGCTACCAACAGTTCTGAGGAAGGGTCACCGGACCTGAAAACGTTAACTCTGATTCCTCTTCCCAGATGCTGCCAGACCTGCTGAGCTATTCCAGCAATCTCTAATATAACAAGGTGTAGGGCTGGATGAACACAGCAGGCCAGGCAGCATCGGAGGAGCAGGAAAGCTGACGTTTCGGGTCTGGACCCTTCTTCAGAAATGAATATGTAACATATACTTGGTGCAGGAAATAAAATTATAATTTGATACATTCTTTCTATTAGTTTATTATAATTTGAAATGTATTGCTTGCACTTAAAAGGAATCACTTCTGCTTTTAACTGACCTTTTTTGTAAGTAACAGAGTAGAGAATATGGAAATGCTATCACATGGAGAAGTTGAGGTGACCAGCGTTGAAGGAGTAACAAAATAATTGCCTGAGCGAGGAAGGAATAGAAGGATGTGTGATTGAGTTAAATGAAGATATGAAACTACTCTCCATGACAACAATGGTGCAGTGATAATGCCTTTGAATTAATCATCCAGAGGCCTAAGACTATGGATTAAATCTAACCACAGAAGCTGACGGAATTTAAATTCCACTATTAAATCTAAAATTAGAAGCTGGTTTTAAAAACCCACTGATGCACTAATATTTTTCCTTTACGGAAGTAAATTTGGAGCCCTTAATTGGTTTGGCCTAGGTGTGACTGCAGATCCACAGGAATGTAGTTAACTCTCCACTGCCATCTGAGGTGGCCTAGCAAGCTATTCAGTCCAATTAGCATTGGTCAACAAATGCTGACCTTCCTGCAAGTTTTGCCCACAGTCCATCAAGGAATGTAACATAGAGTGCTTTTAGCAGAGTCACCTATACTCACCTACTCCTAAATAAAAACTGAAAGAAGGTCAGATGCTGTAAATCAGAAACAAAACAGAAATTGCTGGAAAAGCTCAGCAGATCTGGCAGCATCTGTGGAGGGAAATCAGAGTTAACGTTTAGGGTTTGGTGACACTTCCTCAGAACTGAGGATTTCCAACAATTTCTATTTTATTTCTCACCTACTCCTCAGCTTATTAAAACATTATATGGGTTGCTCACCCATTCTCTCTTACTCTTAGTTCTTATTATCACCTATTCAGCTGTCTTGGCCTGCAAACCATAATCTCCTTGTTTACCTACCCCTTTCATCTCTCTCTCTCGTTCTCTCTCCCTCTTTTCTCCCTGTCTCGCTCTCTGGGCTACATCTCCACCTATCCACTGACCTCTCCATTCCCCACTCCCACCCCAGCCTTGTCTTCAGGATAAATACCTGTTTTTCCAAGCTACTAACAATTCTGATGAATAGTCACTGGTCTCAAAACATTAACTCTGCTTTCTTCCCACTGATGCTGCCAGATATGTTGAGTTTCACCAGCAACATATGTTTTTTTTTGCTGGAATACTGTGAACAGTTTCAGGCTCCTTATCTATAAGCTAACTCTGGAAGAAGGCTGATCTCAGGAATGGGTGGACTGTGTAAATGGGGACTGGTTGAGTAGGTGGGTCTGTACTCACTTCAGTTTTGAAGAATGAGAGGGGACCTTATTGAAACACACAGAATTCTCAGGAAATTTAACAGGGTACATGAGCAAAGGTTTTCCCTTGTAGCAGTGTCTAGAATCAGAGGGTATTATCTCATAAAGAGGGTTCTCCATTTTAAGAAGGGGATGAGGAGGAATTTCTTTCCTCAGAGGGTAGTGGATCCATGGAATTCTTTATTGAAGAGGGCTGCCATAGACAGATTTTTAATCAGTGAGGGAACCAAAGGTTATAGTGAAAAAATTGTTTGTTGACGAACATCTGATCAGCCTTGATCTCTTTGAATTGTGGAGCAGACTCGATTGGCTAAATGGCCCACTTCTGTTCCTCCATCTTATGAGCTTTTGCTAGCGATGCTACAAGACCTGCTAATTATTTGCAAACATCTTCTGTTTATACTTGGTCTTTATGCAGTTGCCAGATTGTACGAACTGACTAGTATAACAACAATTTGCATTTATATAGTGACTTTAACATGATTAAAATGCCCCAGATTGCTAAACAGAAAACTTAATTGGATAAAAAAAAATTGGCACCAGGAGCAAGACGAGAGAAAGCTAAACAAAAGCTTGAAAACAGTTGGATTTGAGGAGCGTTATAAATGAGGAGAGACATGTCGAGAAAGAGAGAGGTCAGGGAGACCGTTCCAAAGCTGCAGACTGGCCACTGATAGTATAGTAACCAATAGTGTGGCAAATGAAATGGAGGCACAAAAACCAGAATCGCAGGAACCCTGAATTCTTAGAGGGCTGCTGGGCTGGAGGAGAATACGGAGATGAGGAGGTGCAAGGTCACGGAGAGATTTAAAAAG